GGGGTGGCGAGCAAGGTCTGACAATAGATCTCAATATCTGGAAGCAGCCTTGGAATGAGAGGTGCCACCACTCTGACGTATGACTGTTCCTAAGCAGCTGTCCTGCTTTCCGGAGCTGGAAATTTCAACAGCTAGGAAGACGGATGGGCAGAAGGGACCATTCTGTACAACTTCTAGCCTCATCAGTCGAAGGCTGGCACTGACCTAGCTTTGCAGGAATCACTCTGAGTACATCGACAAGGACAACAAGGCAACAGTGCAGTGAAACTACAGTCTTCAGAGCTATTGTCACACAAAGGGAGTCATTCACAAATCAGCAGTGCCGGACAGGAAGGAGTTGCGATTTCTGCCATCTGCTCACTCGGAGGAAGAACGGCCTTCTGCCCATAGACTGCAGCCTCATAAACAGTGGAATGTTTGAGACACGCTTGGCAGTCAGACTAGCACGATGCCGAGAGAGAGACGCGCCACTACTTGCAAACTAGACTCTTGTAATAAATAACTGTTTAAACCTGAAGAAACTGCTTTTGGTGGCAAGAGTGGGGCACCTGCACCTCATTGCTATAAATGACTGTCACTTTTCCCTTGGGACCAAATAAACAAGGTGTGGGAAATTAGATCTGTCAATAATTTCAGTTTATTTAAAAGCTGCCACAGTGGGCTCTGAACTAGGTTACGACAGACCAGTGCTGCTAGGAGAAAGTAGCTTTAACTGTCCCCCCATCTCGCCATTTCCCCAACCCACTTCTTCCTCCAAAACTACCAGAAGCCACAGTAGAGACCCCAAGTGTGGGTGCATGGAGGCCGAGCTGTGAGGAATGCACACTGTATGAGAAGACAGAACGATTTTAGTGTTTATGGCACAGTTGTTAAGTAAAGAGCCATATCCTCCCAGTTCATGCTCCTCCTATGAGTAAATTAATCAGAATCTATGCTTACTCTTAGGGACTGCAGGTGGCGCAGTGGTTTAAACCACTTGCAGATCGAAACATGTTGCAAAACATGCTTGTTGGATCAATAAAGTAACAGTTGCAAGGAAAACTGGATCATTTGTTGATCTAGCAAAGTGTAAAGCTAAAGAGAACGAAGGCATCCAGTGAAAATGTGCCGGGTTCTCCATTGCTAGAAACATTTCCCCAAAACAATATGCCTCATCTAACATGAATGATCAAGTTTAAGCTGTAAATCTAAATTTAACAGCAGAATAATCAAATGAAATTCTCTTTTCATGTGTTAAACAAGACTCCACTTTAGATTATAAGCCTCCTAAAACCCACCGAGAGATGACCTTCATAGGTTGGAACAGGGACTGCAGCAATTCCTAATATCAGCTCAGAAGGCGCATAGAATGAACTGGTGTCCGTGTGCCTGCGGTTTCATTGGAGAAGAACTCCGGTTAAAGAATGGTGTACAATGCCTCTCAGCTATGCCCCTCCTATACATCATGAGGGCCAGAGGAACATGAAACACAACACAACAGACTGGAAACCATCTTAAAAACAATCCCATTCATCAAAAGTGCCGGGGGGCTGCGCCCTTCTCCCTCCAGCCAGCCCTTTCCTACGGCAAGTATGAATCCGCTCCGCCGCTGCAGCATGGAAGCCCACCTTGCAGCCCCCTTGTTATTTTTAGCTGTTTCATCCGACGACGCCCGACAACTAAGCAGGCTGAGAATAGCAAAGGGGAGAGAGGATTATCAAGTACGAACACTGAAAGTACGTGACCATAATCACTTCCTTCCACAAGGAGGAACCAGCACTTTCCATCTCTTTGGAATGTCCAAGTCACTTTCTCTGAAAATGTCATATTTCAAACACACAATATAATGGAGACCACAATGAAAAGATACAACGCTTCCTGGAATAATATTGCTCTAACACTTGTGGGTTATGTTTCCTTAAAAACAAGGGAGGAAACGGCTATCCCCCAGCATTATCCTGCCGGGATGCTCCCAAAATAGAGCACCCCCACCCACACACCAATGCAAATCTTAACAAAACACGACGCAAACATTCAATATTGCCAAGGCTGTGGAAGGGCACACGGTTTCAGCAAGCAGACGGCTGCCCAAGCCCAGCTCCAGCCGTGTCTCTGCACAAAGCAGGCGCGAGTTTCAATCCCCAGCACTTCTTGTGACAAAACCAGCAGGGGAGCAGGGATGGGAAAGGCTTCTGCCCAAGACCTTGGAATATTCCGAGCAATCAATCCAGTGGTCTAACTCAGCACGTGCAGTTTGTGTGTCTTGCTCATTTCAGCTTCCCAAAATCCTGACAACTGTTTCAGGGGGACTTCCTGCATCTTAAGTCTCTGGCGTTACCAGACCTTGCAGAAGCCTTTAATGGTGAGGCAAAATATCAGAACAGTCTCTCGGACACATTTTTTACTTCCACGCGTTCATGAAATGTAAACCCAGGGAATGCTGTTTTGGAATCCGCAGGCCGACACAGCATCACAGCCTTGTTGAGAGCCTTTCTGACCAATGGGGCAGGATATAAATCTCAGAAGTCTAAACTAATCTAATCTGTCACCACCAGGAACTGAAATGTGGAATCTTCATGTTGGAGCAATAAGCTCCAACCTGCTACACCAGCAGGAAGTCCTTTAAGAAAACCACACACACACGCCTCAAAATTCCAAGGAGGAAAGCGCACTTGCCTGGCCTACAGCTACCAAAGATGGGCAGTAGTTCTAGGGCCCAAAAAGGAGGGTGGCCGGGCGAACAGCTTTCAGGCGCTGTGCTTCGCATCCTCAGCTGGCTTCTTGCCTGCAGCAAGCTTTGGCCTACTTGATGGGCTGCTCCCAAAACCACACCCAGGGAGGTTGCAAAGGAATCCCGTGCTAAATGCATGGTGCTTTTAAGCAAACTTTGCAAATTTTAGACCAATTACAACTCCTCAATGCTTATTAAAGTGAAGAAGAAATCCTGTACTCATTTGCTCTCCAATCACGACAGGTGAATTGCAAAGCGTGCAGCTCCCTGTGAACCCATCCGCACGACTCCGTTCTCTCCTCAGTCACCACTCAGTGCTTCCCAGCCCGTTAACACTGATTTGGGGAAACGAGGGACGGCCGCTTACTATGAGGCTAAGAGTCCTGCTTGATTGCGAGGACTGAGACAGGCCAAGGCTACAAGGTGCACGAAGACACTGAGGCTCAGGCATGGTGGAGTGCTGGAAGGGCGCGTTTTCCATGCAGGCCCCGCTCCTCTATCAAAAGCTGGGACGGCCCCTCACGCAGTGCGAACCCCGCTCCACACCGCATTCGGCATGCGTCCCCCAGCCAAGCCGCCATGCCATCCATGCTGCCATGTGTGGTAACAAAAAAAACCCTTCCTACTTAACAGGAGAGTAAATGGCGATGCTTCAGGTTAACTGGAAAACCAGCAGAAGCCAAGGTACCAGCAGCATGGAAATTTTCACCAGTGACCCTTAACTTCAACACCAACTGTCCCAGTGATGAGGTCACTATGGTGACCATTATGGAGAAATGACAGCTGGTCTTCCCAAACGCATTTTTGGAAGAGGAACAAATATAGCACTAACATGTCTGCCGTTTTTCCTGCAGGACGTGTGACCTGCGCTGGCCGCCAAGGCTGTCCTTAGCTGTTGAGTCAAGCCGACTTCGTCTTCATTTGATCGGACCTGACGTTCCGCCCCAAATGTTATTAAAATGTTAGCTTAGTTTGCATGATTAGCACAGTTGTCCCTAAACATATCAATTCCCTCCTTTCCATTTAAAATAAATAGCTAAAAATAGATGTTCAAAGACTAGAAACAGCCAGATCTGCTTCAGCGAGACTCCTTTTTATCTATATTTACCCACAAACATACTTTCCCTGCCAGGTATCATTGTCACTGATTTGAGCAGGGCCTGGACCGTCAGACTTGGCATGGGATAACTCAAAGGTGAAACATTCGGTGTGTCTGCCGTTTAGCATCCTTCACCCGCAATTACAGGGATGCCTGTCGACTCCTTCTGCATTTGGTAGGGGTTAGGGTTAAACTGAAGTCAATCAGCTGAGTGATCCACTGAACAAGCAGACCTCACAAGGCAACTACAGACATGGGGAAATTAAATACAAATCCGTTGCTAAAATCCTAAAAAATAACTATACTTGTAAAACAACAACAACAACAGATTAGTTCAGTTCAGGAATACGGTAGACCATAAACTGTTATGGTCTTAAGACTGTTGTTAATATTTTACTATGTCTTTGTTTACTAGTGTTTTCTGAATGTTTATAAAATCCTGCACCTACTGGCAAACCACTGAAATTCAAGGATATGGAAGCACGGCAAACTCGTCCCTCAGTGAGGTCGTATGACAAATGACAGGTGGAAGCCAACCAACCCCAGGCAGTCCTGGATGAGGCTTGTTTATCTGGATCTGCTTCAGTTGAGACTCTGGCCTTGTTCTGTCAAACACCTTTGGTTACCCCGTATGATGACCTATGCCTGGAGAGGGAGGAGTGTGCCCTGTTGGTTCTCCTGGACCTCTCAGCAGCTTTCGGGACCTTCACCCATGGCATCCTTCTGGAGGAACTCTCTGAAATGGGCATGAGAGACACTGCCCTGCAGCGGTTTCACACCTACTTGGATGGGAGAGTCCGTAACGAGGTACTTGGGGGATAGGGCTCTGCCCCTAAGATCTTCCAGGACGGGTTCCTCAAAGGTTGGTCTTCCAGATCTATTCAAGACCTGCATGAAACCGCTGAGTGAGGTCATATGGAGTTTTGGAGCGTGTTGCCATCCATATGCTGGTGACATGCAGCTTGGGTTCTCCTTTTCATAATTAATCATTTCTCGTTTCCATAGCATTCATGTTAGATAACATGGTTCTGTACTTTTTAATATCTGGGCATCACAAATAATTTCCAATTAAGATGGCATGTAGGAAATGCATTATTACTTTTCTCTGGGCTCCTGCTTCTATGGTTGGAATTTAATACAATATATAAACAACAACAAAAAAGATGCAATAAATGGCTATACCAAATTTACCTCCAATTCCTTAATTTTCTCTTCTGCTATCTTTTGTTTTTCTAAGAGCTGATTGTGAATTACTCCTTTGGATTGAAGGATAAACCTGCAAAAAGATGACAGAAGAAAACGAGTTTTAATCCAGTTTATTAATTCAAGAATTAGATACAATAAAAAGTACAATGACACCTGCACCAAACAGATTTTATTCCATTCAGAGCATTAATTCAAGGCATGGCTTGCCTAAATTACTAACATTTTAGAAACATCAGCCTTTTCCTAGATACATCTTTCCTGTTTAAGGGTGTCAATGTATGGCTGAATTACATTCCGGCATCCTGGAAGCTGCCTTCTGGTCACCACCGGTGGATCTTCCAAGCTTCGTAGTGGCCGAGAGTCTCCTAAGACAGGGATGGAAAGACATCTCCCTCAATCATACAACGGATGGAAAACCTCACGCCACTGGCATCCGATGGGAGAGCAGGCTGCTGATGGCCTCAACACTCATCCTGACATTAGGTCATGCTTATTTATTTATTATTTATTAAAAGCTTTTCTCACCCGTCCACCACTAGGCATCTCAGGACAGCTTACAATAAAAACAAGTAAAATAAAACAAGGCACTATACAACTGAAATACTAAAGTGCCAGTAAAAATCAATTAAATATTAAAATAGTTATTCATTTCATTCATATTGGTGATGGGAAGCGTTAAATTTTTTGTGCGTGTGTGAGTACGTGCACACACATATATTTAATGGCATATATTCTAGATCTCAAGATCAGATTAATGCATCTTTTATTGTTACTGCATGGCTGCATGTTTTCTTTTTTTTTTCTTTCTTTTCTTTTTCCCCCTGTATGTCCATTTATTTACTTAATTTGCTTAAAGGACACCCATTGGTAGCACACATTTGCATTTCTGCTCTTGTTCTGGTTGAAAGATTGTCATGGAAATTATAAATAAAATACTTGGCTACAAAAAATAGGTAGAGTTGTTTAAAACGCTTTGAATTTGGAATGCTGGGATTTTGTGCTGCATTTTATTTTATCTGCATTTTATTGTCATCAACTTTTACTACTGTGTTTATATTTATGAAATGTTGTGCACCATCCAGGCTGCTTTGGCTATTGGGCAATATAGAAATGAAAATAATAATAAGGAAGGCACTGAAAATGGATAGCATACAAATTTTAACATGCTGCTATATCTGCTGGGGCTAGGCACCCAAAAATAAAAGTTAATTAGAATTTTGAAACTGCCAGTTTGAGTGATAGTATATTATGTTCAGTTTTATGGAAAAAATCAATTTGGGGAATGTAAAAAAAGTCTATGGAAAATGTTCAGGTCCACAACCCTTGCATACTGGAACATTTACTTCATGGTTCCAAATTCCTCTCATTTCCTATACAGACAAAATAAAACAAAATATAAAGGTAGCGGAACGGAATGGAAAAAGTATATGCCATCACAAGCACAGGAAAACACCCACAAGCAAGTGATAACATCTCTGGGCCTGAATTTCCACATTACGCATATCTGACCAAGTAAGTGAATGACCTCAGACCTGTTTGCCTGGCCAGCTCCGAGAGGCAGTGCCTCTGCCACAGTCATTCCAATGGATTATTCATCCCGTTTGCAGGTGGAGCTGTTGCTGCATCTCTAGAGCATAAGAAGCTGCTTGAGACGATCAGCTTGAAACTACTCCTTCAATATGAATACAAGCACCCTGTGAATGCCAAGTCTGCCAAGCAGCGGCAAATTTCAGTGGAAACAGAGTCCATATCTGCCTCTGCTCTGGCAGTTCCAACAGAGGCTAAATATGTGGAAATTTAACAGATTAGCTTTTCCTGGCATGAAGAGAGAGCAATCAGGAAAACTCTCCAACTGCTTAATTGTTTGCAGATACAGTGAAAAGATGGGGGGGGGGGGACACAGCCCTACCTGCTCCAAAGACACAGAAAACCACCTGCAATTACTACACTGAGTATCTGCATTGGCTTTCACAAGGAGGTGGGGGCTAGTCTACAACTGTAACATATTATATTACTTAAGTAAACGGAAATAACCACATGGCTTCCAAATGGGGATTTTTGCATTGCTAGACACTTAACTAGTTGGCAGATTTATACCATTGTTCATATAGCAATCTTAAAAAAAAATACTGAAACACCTAAAATAGCATTTGAGATAGCATGTCACTGCCAAATGAAGGAAAAGACTGGCTTTTAATGGTTACAATACAATTAGCAATGTCACTAAAGTGCACCGTTGCATGATTTTAAATCCACTCTGCAGCCTCGTAATATTCAACACACACAAAGCGAGCACCTTCCTCCTGCACACACGCTTCTGAGAACGCCACTGCGGATGGCAGACTGGCTCTTCTCAGCAAGTGTCTGTGCCAGTCCTGGCCTGGATGTTGCTCCGCTGCCAACAGGCATCCTCTCCCAACCCACCAAGCCTGGCAACCAGGAGAGCTCGCTCCTGTCTCCTAGCAGCAGCCACTGCTTGCTCACTGCACTTAGGGGCTGCCTTTCCGCTTCAAAACCCCGCAGACCACCATTCAAATCAACAGGATGGTGTGCCTACGCCTGCTGCTGCCGCCGCCTCGGAGGACGAAGCTGGCTCCAGTGGGATGGTGCCCATGTTTAGGCCTAGTCACGGCACAGACTGGCAAAGGGTGGGGATTGCAGGGAGCAGGAGGAAGCGGCTGCTTCTTCAGCAGAGACAGATCCTGACCACTCAAGGGGCTTGGGCAGCCTTAACCAGAAAAGCATTCCTTGAGCAGCGAGATCCGTAACTCATGCAGAGCCCCAGGCTGAAGCATCTGCAGAATTACACCAGCAGTCAAGGCTTTCTAGTCATTCCGCGCTGCAGAAGAACTAGGCCAGAGGTAAGGCCCCCTGACCGAACCGGAGCACAATCAGTTCGATCTTTGGCCTCTCCAGAGCAGCTTGGGCTAGGCTAGAATGCAGGTCTGCTGATTTTTAAAAAGACATATCAAGCGACTTCAGCTGCAAGAGAGCCAGCCCTGCCATAAAGGAGCAGCAAAATACTGCTTGATATGCAATCGTTGAAACATGGGCAATGCTCATCACATTTTCAAATGCTATCGCTCAGTGATGACGTATGTCCCTGCTCAGTATTTTCATTGCTTTGACTATGGATACTTAAACTTAATTGTTCCATTTTTATCCCACCCAATGGCCTAGGCGCTCTGGGTGGTTAGTAAAAGTTAAAATTAAACAAACCTCTGTGTGTGTGTGTGTGTGTGTGTGTGTAGCATTAATTTAAACAAGTAAAACTGTAACAGCTATTACGATAACAGCAACTGTAACAACTGCTATTATCCAGCATAGAAGCCTAGCAGCAGTACAGAATAAAATGTAATATATAAAACCATTTAAAAATTAAACTGCTCGAATACTGGGAAAATTAGAAGTCTTCATGTGGTGCCGAAAAGAATGCACAGCAGGTGCCACGCACACCTCCGAGGAGCTCCTTCCAAAACTGGGGCTCCATGACCAATGGGCTGCCCCTCCAGGACCCTCCTTCCCTTTGATGGCGCCCTCCAGGACCTGGCGAGGCTGTCGCACGGCGGAGGGCCAGGGTCGCTTCCCATCCCGCCAGGGTGCCAGGCATGGAAAAGGGGGCTCAAGTTGAAGGAAGCCAGGTTCTGGATGGGCATCGGGAGAAGCTTCCGGACTCCTGGAGCAGCAGGGCCACGGACCCAATGATCAAGGAAAGTGGCGGCCTCTCCCCCACTGGAGGAATTCCAGGTGCAATGGGGCAGCCTTCTCAGAGCGAGGCTTGCCTTGGCGTCCGGCACCGCGCAGGGGGCCGCAGCCAAGGCCTCACTGCACCCTCCCCACTCAGCCCTCTGAGGACTGTATGAGAAAGGCCACACACGCACCCGCTGGCTCACCACTGCAGAGCAGGTTCTGCTCTCGAGGAAGCCCCCTCCGCCACCCTCATCCCGCGAGCCTCAGGGACACACTCCTCCCTGATTCTGCAAGCAGTGCACGAGCCCAGGCAAACGGCAGGCCTCTCCCCGGCGGCGCTTGGGGCCTGCACCCCAAGGCAGCAAACGAAAGCCCTACGGCCGCATCCATCAGCCGAAGCGGATCCCACGCGGCCTGGAGGGAGGCGTGCTGGACTGATGGCACTATTGTACACGTGTTCACTCAGAAGGCTGCGAAAGCTGCACGCTGCAGTGGCACTAACACCGAGCATCTCATCAGCACCTCATTAGCTAATGCCTCCACCGAGTAAAAATAACAACGATGCACACAACATACAAGCAACCTTCCCTCCTCATTATCCATGTCAGTCTTCCTAACACTCATCTTTCTCCTGCACTAGTTATTTTGGGCTCCGTGCGAGGAAACCAGCAACACGCTTCCCGGGTGAGGAACTGGGATATACTGTGATTGACCAGTATCTGCTGCTCCAAAGAGAGCCCAGGATTTTGGCCTCTTGCCAGCACATTTTAATTCCATTAGTTCATATTCTTTTGAAAGACTTGTTATGTAGCCTGATACACTCACACACACCGACGCCTGGTTTTGTTGCTCGAGCTATTTGTGCACTGACATCAACATTTTACTTTGAGAACCATGACGAAATAAACGCCTGGGCATTTGCCTTTACGCTATGCGAGCACACCGAGAATGAGCAGGACGCCTCATCCGAGTCATAGGAAGCACTCATACCACCCTCACTGTGCGCCTCTCGAGAGGGCAAGACCGAAACGAAAACGCTCCGGGCTACAAGTGCTCCAGGGAGAGCTCTCAGTCCTAGCGTTCCACCTGTGGCCACAGCGACTGCTCCCCCGATTCCGCAACATCACAGCGCTGTGCTCCCCCGCTAATCTTCCACGAACACCTACACTGGAGTAAGGAGTAGCCACCTACAGCAAGGTGGGGACACAGGTAGTGCTCCAACTCTGCCCACAAACCAGGATATTAAATATGGCACACTTCTCATTCACTGACAGGACGGACAAGCAAGAAACCCGTTCGGAGGCAGGTCACGCACTTTGTGCTAGTTCAGACCAGCTAAACGGAACATGAGACGCGACGGACTAGCAAGCACGGGTGTATTTGCTTGTTCACAACAAACAAGGATTTTCCAGGATTCTGGTTGACAAAGACATGCAAACCAGCCCTGAGATTTCCCTATTAGACTGCAGTTCACAAGGAGGGTTTCTGTTCCCCAAAGAACGGGGTTGTTTACGAATGCCCAAACCAAGAGTGGCCTACTGGCCCGGGGTTGCACGTTGCATTCACCGCCTCCCATCAGAGTTTAGCTACAGAAATAGGAACTGGCTTGCATCCTGCATGTTCCCAAGAATGTGGATTGCTTAACCCATGATTTGCCCTGACAGGAAGAGCAGGTTGGTGAGAGATCTCTAATAAAATCCCAGACTGAAAGATTCTTAGAAAGTATCTTTTGAACGATGCTAGCATGGAGATCCCTGGCTCCACCACTGATTCCAGCTCTCAAAAAGAAACTTTGCAAAATTTCTTCCCAGTCTTGGAAGCCACAACCAATATGTCACAACTTACCCACCTGCTCCTCAACAAAAGTACCTCTGTACAAAGGAAGTCACAAGCATACCTTGTGCCTTGTATACTTTTCCTGAAAAGGCCGGGTAGCTGTTTAACAACACTGGGCCCAATTCTCAGTATGTTCCATTGCTTTCTCATGCACTTCCTTAGTACAAGTAAAAGAATCATCATACTAAACTTCAGAAGCAAAAAGGTAGGAATTGATCCTTAGTGCGGTGCTCACACCAACATCTGAAAATACTGGAAGGCTCATTTCAATGCACTACATACCACCTTCCACAACATCACACAGGGGCAAGGAACCAGGACCCCGGATTTCCAAGTGGAAGCATTCCAAAAGTCCGTGTGGAATCAAGAAACGCTTGGGATGCCTCAGCGGGGCTCCCATGAACCTTAGTGGCGAGCATGTAAGAGCAACCAGGCGTGCTGCAGAGAGAAACCAAGAACAGGGGCCCAGTGCAATGATCCAATCAGACTGGCAAGGGATTCAAGGGTGAGCCCAGATCTGGGTCACATCACCCAATTCCAAGGCACACTGGTGTAGATTGTACAAAAGACCACAAGCAACACCAGCACCTCTTCCTTTGGAAGGGGCTCTCAGAGAAGGACCCCCAACATTGACTTCCAGGTCCAGGCAGGTACCCATGAGAGAAGGGGGTCCTTCAGATAACCTGGCCCCAAGCCGTTTAAGGCTCGGGATGTTAGCACTGAATGGTACAGCATGCAGTGTTTGGAAACATCAAAACGTTACTGGCAGAGGAAGTCAGTAGAACTACATTAAACAAACAGTATGAAAACTTCCTTTATGACAAGGGCCTGAACCATGGCTAAAATGGCACAGATCCTTCAAAAACAGGAAAGGATGAAATGAGCTATTTCATCTTAACAGAAATATGGAACATTTACTTATTTGCCATAGTGTCCAATAGCTGAAGCTCATCCAGGAGGAACTGGCTGCAAAAGAATCTTATTCCCTTACTTTGGAAGGAAGACAGTTTATTGTCTTGGTGATCAGCCATCATACATTTCCAAAGAAAACAGAAAAAACAACAAAAATCCATTGGACAAAATAACAGTAGACTTCAGAGAACAATTAAAACATTGGTGTTACACCAAATGCAATCTGATTACCTAGCCAGAACACAGTGGATGCAGAGAGTAAGGTCCCCAGCTCGTAACTGCTGAGCTCATGTCACTCGAGTCTTTGAACCGGCTAATTCTAGAGACGCTTTCAAGATAAGCATAGCGAACTTTGAATATAGTGCATCTGTCTACAACTACAGCAGTTTCTCGGGCTTTCTATGTTCTCCTCGCTAACAGTGGCTGTTTATACAGGTCTCTTAACATAGTAAACATTTTACACTCCAGCAGAAAAAGGGCAAGATATTCCACCACTACTGTATTTCAAGGGTTCTAGAGATGGTATTATTTATTTATTTATTTATTTAAAACATTTCTATGCAGCCCCCATTGCAACAAAGCCTCGGGGCGGCTCACAAAGGATACATAAATACATAAATAATAACAATATAACAATTTTAAAAAATTGTTTAAAAACCCCCGGTGCATTCTCGGCTAAAAATTTAAAATCCTATTAATTCAAATAATTTAACAATTAAAATAAGTTTTAAATAAAAAGGTCTTAGCCTGGCGCCGAAAAACAAATAACGACGGCGCCAGGCGGACCTCTCTGGGGAGCGCATGGTACTGTGTGTGCACTCTCAGAGTCCATGGAATTTTCACCAGAAATCCAAAATGATCTGGCAAAGGAGGACACTCAGCTGAGCCTGTGAGAATCCAACCTGCGGCTTCCTCTTCATAAGAATATAAAAATAAAGTGGAACCTGAGAAGGTCACACATCAGACTAGAACATAAGAGATTTTTATTTACAGCAAAAATCAAGGTATCAAGGTTTTTCAAAAATCACCTCTGAACAAGTGGTATTAAGAATCGACTAGAGAATTGAGCTAATAATTTTTTCTATTCAAATCTGGTTCAAATTCAACTACGATGTAATTTTTAAAAAAAATCTACTCTAATTTAGACAATGGTATTTCTGAGACTCGTTCAACTGTGAAAACAGTAGTAAATACAGATTAACAAAAGCATTTGATCTAGCAGATTTAAAGTATCTTAACATTTCTCACACTTCTTCTTGCCCAAGTCCTTCTGAACCGGAATCAGCAAGACAAGGCACATATTAACTCTGGGTGAGGATTCAGCCTTTATCAGCCAGTCAAAGAACTGATTGCAAACAAGATTATTAACAAGCAAGAAGAATTACTTACATTCTTCCTACACCTTCATACATTCGCGTTTCATCCGCCAAAGTCATGATCTCCACATCTGTGAGATGTGCATGTTTTTTGGTCCTGTTCAGCTGATCTATCTGCAAATCTGCCAGTTTCACCTTCTGTTGGGTATCAATTACCTTGGCCTGAAGTTCAGTAAACGCCTGATATGGACAAAAATATGAATAGAGCTATCAGCCAGTTGCTGGGTCAGCAGGGGTCTTAGCAGCAAATACCCATTCCTCTCGCAGCTTGCTTGTGAGTGTTCCAGAGACACCAGATTTGCCAGCCAAGGTGCTGGTTAAGAGCACAGAAGTGGGACAGGGACACGGGTTCTAATCCGTGCTTGGCTACAGAGTGACTGTGTGACTTTGGGCCAGCCACAGACCCCCTCAGTCCAGCCTACCTCGCAGGGCTGTTCTTGTGGGAATAAGATTGAAAGCAGGAGGAAGAGAATGATTGGAGCTCTTTAAAAAAAATTTAAAAGTCAGGCTACGAATATAAGAAAACAATCCACTTTCTGTAAATATGCATCACTGTCCAGTTCGCATTTATAGATAGTGCTTATATACAAAAAGGTCCAATCTATGCAATCCTCTTCAAGAAAAGAGGAAAAATTGCTCTAATCAAGGATACATACACGCATGCCTCAGTGGAAGGTGTGACTCACTTTTTTGTACTAGATGCCTGAAGTGTTCACCACACCATAAAGGCCATCAGCCAGGGGCCTGCCTGGACCCTTTCTATTTATAAAGACTGACCCTCTCCAACCTGGTGTCAGTGAGCCACTGTGGTGCAGCGGTTACGAGCACGGGGCTGGGGACTTGGGAGACATGGATTCAAGTCCTGCTCAGCCATGGAGCCTGCTGGATGCCTTTGGGCCAACCCCAGACTCTCACCCTGGCCCACCTCACAGGGTTGTTGGTGTGGGGATAAGATTGAGAGCAACAGGCGGAGAACGATATGAGCCACTCTGAGTCCTTTAAGAAAGAAAAAAGGCGACAGAGAAGTCTAATACATGCATGAATTATGTATGACGTATTTCAATTGTACTAGGTCGATGAATTTGTTTCTTACTGTTATTTACTTTTATCTGCATTTTTAATATATTTATATTGCATACTGTGAGCCTCCCAGAGAGCCTGCGGCTATGGGGCGGCCTACACATACGATAAGCGGTTAACAAACGAACGAACGACGACAATGCGGCCGCCTTCCTCCGCCCGGAGGCCTCGGGACTACGACTCCCAGAATTCCTGGCCGCCGGCCACGCCGGCGGGGGCTGACGGGGGCGGCAGTCCGGGGCGGCCGGCGGCTCCCGGGCCGGGATGCGGCCCAGGCAAGGCCGCCCGGCCGGGCCTCCCGCCGGCCGGGCCACGACCGCGCGCTGCGCCTTTCCTGAGGAGGTGCCTCGAGGGCCCGTCCCCGCGGCGCCCAGGAACCCGCCCGCGGGGGAGGCGATCCCGGCCCGGCCCTGCCGGCCCTGCCCGGTACCTTTTTCAGTTCGAGGTCCACCGGCGCCGCCATTTTGCCTCCGCCAAGAGACTGCGCACGCGCACCCAGTGACCCTTCCGCGGCCGCGCATGCGCTGTCCAGCCTCCTCGTTTGCGGGTGGCTCGGTTCGCACATGCACAGTAGGAAAGACTCGCGCTTATAAGCACGTGGAGGAAACGCGGCCCCTTCGTTTCATGCCCCGGATTCCACGTATGCGTGGTGTGGCCGCTGTTCTTGGTTGCAGGAAGAAAAGTGCTCGGTGTGTTTGGAGAATTAGCGTCTTCCAAATGTTTTGCCATACGCTTTGCTGCGCCCTAGCTTAGCTTTTGGAGCAATGACTGAGGCTGAGAAACGCTGCCTGAACTCCTTGAATCCGCATTGCTCACTTTCTTGGGGACTAGCCTCTTGGCTAGTTCTCTGTAGGGACGCGTGAAACTGGGCTGGGTTTGTGCACGAAGTTGCTGCCCAGTGAGCTGCAGGTTGGGGGTGCTAATATTTAATGTAGAAAGCCATGTCAGTCATTAAGCGCTTTGAGCCATGCAATTTTATTTATAAAACAGGCCATGTTGTATGTAGGCTGCTTCCCAGAGACATCCTCAACGGTAGATGCATGATTATGCCACCCCTTCCCTGTGAGATGGGCCTCATTCTTCCTTTTTATTGTTCCTCATGTTGGGAAAATGTAGATAAAGCCTTATAGAAAAAGGTTGCCTTTGTGTTCCAAAATCAAATATGCAGTAGCCCTGCACCTCTTTCTCAGAAAGTATTTATTTATTTAAAGTTTTTATCTGCCATCCCCTTGCTACATAGCCTCGGGACGGCTCACAGAAATAAATAAATAAAACAATTACAATTACAATTAAAACCTGGAAACACACTGGCTGCACAATTAAAATCTATAAATATTAAACATTATTAAAATACTGTTTGAATAAAAAGGTATTGGCCTGGTGCCAAAAAACAACGATGGCACCAGGCAGACCTCTCTGGGGAGCGCATTCCACAGATGGGGCGCCACCACAGAGAAGGCCCTCCTCCGGGTACTTTGCCTCCTGATGTCTCTCCCGGAGGGCTCCCGGAGGAGGGCCTCTGCTGCCGATCTCAAGGGGCGGGAGGGCAAGAATGGCCGCAGGCATTCCTTTAGGGAATTCTGAAAGTACCAGAATTCCAAGCCAGGCTTTTATTTAGTGCCGTTATCAGAGCTGCCCCTTGGAGGGACAGGAACTCTCGGCTCACCTGGGGCGGCTGCTACCTGCAGCTGTAAAATTAACGTTCAAACATGCAGCCGGGACCTGCAAGACTCTGGCCGTCCTGTCAAACCTTGTAATGACTGATGCGAGTGCATTACGCCCCCGCTGTGGCTCTCGCACATCCTTTTGCCCGTGTCCCCCGTATTTCCTCCTCGTCTGCCCTGCTGCTGTGTTACGTGACTCGGAACCTGCCAAACACTCTGTGTATGTTCCAGAAGCTTGTAGTTGGCTGTGAGGACCCACCCTACTGCCATTAGTGACTGCAGGGGACTGGGGCATTGCACCCAGAAAACCGCCGAGGTGCAAGACGATTAGATCTTCCCTGCAGATCTGGGCGACCATTCTTCACGACTGGAATCCCGGGACTCGGGCACTTTCCCCAAATAGAGAAGGGGATTGTGCCTGACCCATACGGTCCAGGCTAGATCACGCTGTGGGAAAGGGCAGGGGACTCTTGGCGAGTTCCTCCACCGCCAGGCAGTGTGTGGCTAGCAGTCTGCCACTTCCTCCACTGGATTTTTCCCAGCTAGCCTCCAAGGAGCCGTTACGGAAGCCGCGGTCTGCGTTTTGGCTTTAGGGCATCTGGAAGCTCGATCCCGGGCTGCTGCATGCCCCTAGCTGCCGTGCCGGGTGATGGATGCCACAGCGCCTCCGAGGAAACGGTTTCCAGTACATGAATCACCCGGATCACTTCCTACCGTACACAGGAAGGTTTTCCTTGCGACGCCCACGCAGGAATGGTGAGCTTGCGGAGGTCCCCACGGTGCAGCTGCAAGCCTTCACTGGAGAAGCTAAAATTAAAACAAAGGCACTTGTCCAGTCGCTTCCTCTCAAAAAGGGTCGGTCCAGGGAAGAGAGCAGCTCTCCCCTGCATCCTGCTCGCTCGCTCGCTTGTTTCTCGTGAGCTGCTTTAATGAGCATTACAGCTGTTACTTTGCGGAACTGAAAAGCACACGAGGAGGGACTCCAGTCGGCTCCCCATTAGCTCAGGATGTTCTCTGTTAAATTTAGGCTAGCCTGGCTTTTGATAACAACCGTGAAGTCATGGAACCGCGGTGGAGCCGGCCGAGCCTTCCTGTCTCGGTTCTTCCCCAGTGGAAGGGCGTGTGGGCAATGCGGCAAGTCGGCCGGCGCAGAGGGAGCGTCTCGCAAGAGGGGAGGTTCCCAGCCACAAGTGCCCGGTCCCTTTGCTGGGGCTGAAGGGCTCCATGCAGCGTGAGGCCCCCTCTTCCTGCCCCTTCCTCCACTGGCTCAGGCCGTGCTCGCCTCTGCTTCGGCAGAGCAACTACCAGCCAGCCTGGGCCCAGCAGCTGCATGCAGCCTTCTCTGGCAGGACGAGTCCCGCAGGAACAAGGGCGAAGGAGTCCAAAGCCCCGGGGCAAAGCCCTCGTCTCAGGCACAGAGCAAAGCAAGGTCGGGGCTGGAAGGGCACTCCCAGGGAAAGGCACAGACACGGGAAAGCCAAGGGATCCGAAGGGCAGGAGAACCGGGCGGGACGCATGGCGGGGCGAGGGGCAGGGGCCGAGCCAACCCCCACGGGACGGCCTGCAATGCCGGGGTAAGACAGCACGGCAGGCGCCGGGTCAGGCAAGGCACGGGCAGTGCGGCCAACGAGGGGGCCTGTCTCGCGAGGCCGTTTGTGGCGGGGAGCCCTTCTGCGCATCCAGCGCTGGGCTGACAGCAGAATGAAACGCAGGAGGGGCAAACGCCAAGTTCTGCACGTAGAGGAAGGAAACCAAACGGATCGTTCCAAGGTGGAGAATCCGTGGTTCAACCATACTGCCAGGGGGAAGGCTCTTGGAGCTGTTGCAGCTCACAAGCTGAATACGAGCGAACGAGGCGATGTGGCTGCAGCAAGGGGGGAAATGCTGTTCGGGCTGCATGAACAGGAGCCACTCTTCCGAGGCACGGGAGGCGCTGGTGCCCTCTGCTCAGCACCGCTGGGGCCGCACCTGTGCCCAGTTCCAGGCGCTTGAGGCAGGTGAGGGAAGATGCGGGGAAGCTGGGAAGGGCTCAGAGCAGGGTGGCCCGGGGACTGGAAACGAAGCCCTGCGCCGAGAGATGGAAAGAACTGGGCTCGTTTTGCCTCAGAAAAGAGGACGTGATCGCAATCTGGAAGTCGCTGAGAGGCAGAGAGGTGGCCAGGCCGCCCCAGACTGCAGGCAGGGAGTCACGGGCTCAAGGCACAGGAAGCGCCTTCCATGTGGCCGATCAGGGAGAACTTCCGGACAGTTGGAGCAGTGCGGCGATGCCGTGGGATCGATGAGCCCGGGAACCTGCAGGCCCTCCCACACGGGAGGCGCTCAGGGCGCATCTGGATGAGGGGCTTCAGCGCGGTCCGGCTCTGGGCCGGGGTTGGGACCCGCCAGCCACTCGCTTCCAACTCGACTCTTCCATGCAGTCCTTCGAAAGACGTGCACACTCACACTCACGTTTTGCATTGCCAAAAAGGGCCCACGGGGACGCTCGACCCAGGTTGGGATCGGGTCAGGCCCTGGGGATTTGCAGTGGGGGGGCTGCCCCAGAGGAGTGTGGTCCCCCCCGCCCGGGCAAGGGGCTGGTGGAAGCAGAGCCAAGCGCTTCCAGTTTCCTGCCATCTTTCTCTCTTGCAGCGGTTCTGAGGATGCTTAAGGCACGGCAGGCGGCTAAGCAAGTTGGCACAGAGGTTCCCCACAGGGCAAAGCATCGCGGCTTCCTGGAGGATTTGGGTCTGGGCCCGACTAAATACTTCCCAGCGGAAGAATTTCTGCTCTGCAGCAGGAATTCATTTTACAGAAAGGTTAAAATGAAGCCCATGAATTTAAGGTGATCCCTGCAAAGGAGGGGGGTGAAGAGGGGGTGTCCTCTGAGCGACGCAGAAAAGCGATGTTTTACATTCACAGCCGCCGCCCGCTCAGAATGCAGAGAGGGAAACTGAGGCACACAGATTTAGCAAGGGGAGTCCTGCAGCCGCCCTTTGAGTCTCCTGCCGTGGTGCGAAAGGCGATGTGTGGACTTTGACGATCATGCAGGTCCGGGCACCAGGGTGGCCTTTGTCCGCCAAGACGACAGTGGCTGAACACAGTCCTGGGAACTTCCCGCCACTTGGCGCCTTCTTTCCACTGCTCTTGCAAAGGGGCTGTTTTCCTTGCTCGACACCAAGAAGGGCAACGAAGGTCTCCCCTTTGCTGCTCTGCACAGGCCATCTGAGCAGGAAACGCTTTCCAGGGTGGATGTGACCCCCGAGATCCTGGCTCAGGGCATGTGTAGCGGTGTCCCCGTCTGCCCCTCCAGGCAGCTGTGGGGCCGAGCAGCTGGACTTGGGTCCTCCGGCTAGCCTTGATGCCCAGGGCGGAACCTGGATCGCTTGCCCGCTGCGGCTTTCCTGCATGATGCCAGCTCTGCATGTTCCCTCGGATGCCTGATGCCCAGCCTTGCCTTCCCTGCCCGCCCTCATTCGCTGCTTCCTCGGTTCTTTGTTCCTTGCTCCAGTCCTCGTCTCCCCGTGGCTTTTCCAAGAACTGATTCAGTGCAGCGGCGGGTGACAAATGGGAACCCGCCCCCCGGTTGGGTTGACCCGGACTCCGTGCGCAGCGAGGAATGTGCCGAGCAGCACTCCGTGCCGAGGGGGCTGGAGCGCGTGTTCCCGCATGCTTCCCCCAGCCGTGTCCCAGGCTTGGCAAAGGCAGCATTCAGCCTCTGTCTTGGAGCCGCAGCATCAGACTGGCGCGCAGGGCCTCCTCCCCTCCCCTCCACTCCCCTCCCCTCCCCGAGGTCAGGGGTCGGGCTGCGCACTCAGCCAGGACTGGGGCTCATTCTTCCGTGGGGACCTGTGACCCGAGGCAGGACAGAAAGCTCTTTCTTGCTCCCGGCTCGGCACAGGCCACCTCCCCTCTCCCGGTCACAGGGAGCTGCGTTTCCCTGCACATGTCCGTGCCGAGGCGCTCGCTCCTGGTGTGGCGGTAGCCCCCCCTCCCCGTCGCATCAAGCCCACCTAGCCCAGCATTCCCTGCGTGCAGCGGCTGCGGGAAGCCACAAGCGGGGGCCGAGCGCAGATTCCTCGACTCTCTCTCAGCATTTCTTCCACTCCCGCGTCTCTGCCTACGGGGGTCCTTCGGGAACACATGTGAAGCTGCAGAGAGAGGCACCGTGAGCAAGTAGGAGCAAGACTCACTGAGGCCTGGGCTCTTGCCAAGTCCATAGCGCCATCTCCCTCTGCTCTTTCAGCTGCAGTCCTCTCCCTCTGCTTTGGAGCCAAGAAGCCCATCTTTGCAGACCAAGGAGACAGAGATCTTCAGTGTTGGGAAAATTCAGATACATCCTGGGAGGAAAAGATTGCTTATATGGACCTTTGTGTTATAAAATCAAACCTGCACCTCTTTCTCACAAAGTGGCAGAATTCCAAGCCGGGTCACTGTTTAGCTTTGCTGTTGCCTTAAGGAGATGGCGTTCTTGGCAGAACTGAGGAGCTGCTGGAGGCCAAGACCATCAGTGGGGAAATACCCGAGTTCCGACCCTGAAACAAAGATATTCATTTGTTTCTGAATGGACCCATTTAATCATCTACAGTAAAACCTTGAATTGCGAACTTGATTCGTGCCGGAAACATGCTTGTAATCCAAAGCACTTGTATATCAAAGTGAATTTCCCCATAGGGTTCAATGTCAATAAGGTTAAACTGTTCTGTAACTTTTTTTTTTAGCTCACAAAAATTTGAAGCAGGCGCGCTTTGGGGGGGGAGGCGGGCATGATTGCGGGGGCACTCGGTGGGTGGGGGGGAGACGATGCTGTGCTCACACCCGCAGCGAGAGACAGAAGACCCAGCGCTCAGTCGTGACGTGACGCTCGGCTGGCAAAGCGCGCGTGACACTCGTACTGCAAGACATCACTCGTTTGTCAAGTCAGAAAAGCTTTTTGCTCATCTCGCAAAACTCCCGCAGACCAAGTTACTCACAATCCGAGGTTTTACTGTAGTCCCACAGAGGCAAGCACCTGCTCAGTGTGGTTGTCAAACCAGTTTTCCTTAAGGGCTCCTCCCTCAGACACATTTGCCTGTTTAAGCAGACACACCGGCTGACCTGGACTGTCAAGAATTTACTAGACTGACATATCAATAAAGCAATCAGTAATGTTTTTGTTCCCAGTATTTCTGATTGGTTTAGACCATCATGTCATGCCTAAAGGCATCAGAATGCTATTGTACTAACATCGTCTGGAAACTTCACACAGTCTGTATTGGTGTATGTGACTAGCAGGTTATAAAAGTGTCTGTCCGTGGGCTGTGATTTTGTAGTTGAGTTTGCCTGCGTTATCTTTAGTGAACGCAGGAAATGGGCCACCAATCAATGAAGCCGCAGCGGTTCAAATGTTTGATCTTCCCTGCAAATCCAACTGTTCCTTCCTCGTAAATTGAAAACTGAGATTCCGTCATCAGCAGGCCTCAGGGCTCTTGCTGACCACAGCGGCCTCCCACGCGTGGGCAGAAATCAAGGACAACATGTAGGGAGATGCCGGAGGGCTGAGCTGGACTCAAAATGCCCACGGTTTGGGGAGCTGACCGAGTAACGGGCCACGAGTGTCAACCACCAACGGAATGGACAGTGGTGGAACCCCCATTCGCCACGTGCTTCTGGCCCTCAACCCATCCTTGAAGCTGCTCGGCACCTTGAGGGTTGTTTCTGGTACACTCAGAACAGCCAACAAAAGGTGGACGGGATTCACTGAAGCAGCCTCTGAAATACGGATTCAGCGTCTCTCCCCAAATCCCCATGATTGGAGATTCCTGGCTGGGATCCAGAGTGCTCCGTCCTGGCACCGGGGCCCCTGCTCCCAGGCCCAGCCTCAGAGCCATCCCTGCGCAGGGATGTGGGCCCCCACCGTGGCCCTTGCAGGAGTCCCCTCCTCCTGAAGTTTCTAGCCCTCCTTGCGTGCCTGCCTCTTGGAACTGGCCCTCCACGTCCCCATTCAGGGGCCACCGGACCGTGGTCGAGGAGGCAGCTGCTCTCGGCCGAGGCTGGCGCTGAGGTGGAAGTTCAGTGCCCCTCCTTGCGAGCTGAGCTGAGATCATTATCTTCCTTTCCCACAGGCGAGGAGAACTTCTTGGCTGGCAAAACACTCTGACTATTGTCACGCTTTGTCGGCCTGAAAGAGGCGAAGGCTTCGAGCCCAATTACTCATCCTGTGATCCAGCCCGCATCGCTCACCACCCACGGCTCGCATTAGCATAGAAATGTCAGACGGCTTCCAGAGGGCGAAGGGGCCCATGTCGTCAAGCCATTCAGCGAGGAATTTCCAGGAGGCGGGTAGAGGGGCATCACGGGGGCCTTGAGCCTGCTCTTCTGCCCACTGCCAGACCCCCGAAGCGCTGGGCCCTGGGCGGCGCCTCCCGCAAGGGTCCCCCTCCGTCGCCGGAGCCCGATTCCCACAGTGGCAATGGAGGTGGGGCTGAACAGGAGCTGGTGGGGTAGTTGCCATGTGAGCATCTTTGCCTCGAATTTTCTGGGCCGTCGATGTTGCAAAGGCCAGGCACGGGGCAAAGACCTCCATTCTTTTGGAGGATCATAAAATATTCCTGAGAAGAAACTGGATGTTCTCCTGACCAAGAGGAACCTGTCCTGCTGCACCCCTCTGCTGGAAGAGTGATTTCCTCCCTGCGGGGTGCTGAGGGTGGATAGGAGGAAAACATCCCCGAAGGGGGTAGTTTGCTGGACCTGATGCAAAGCCCAGGGGAGGGTGTGGACAGTGCCGTCTGGAGCCGTGCTGCAAACACCAGCATGGCCGGGACTGACCTGCTTTGCTTCTTGAAGAAGGGGAGTGACGCCCGCGCCGTGCACTGAAGCCCTTGTCTGCTGAACCCCACCGAGTGTGTCCTCTGCGGAGGCACGGAGCACCCTATCTCCGTCAAATGGGAGGTTCCCTGTGCCTCAGTTTACCTCCTGATGTAATCCCAAGGGGTGGAGCCACATGTGAGCTGGGAGGCAGCTGTCACCATCCCTGTGTGTCCGCTGACCGCCATGTGTGGCGTGGCATGAACTTGACTTGCTAGTCCGTGGTCCTTCCCTTTAAAAATGGTGGGAAGGCTTTCAGAGAGGGAGGGGGTCCATGAGGCCACAGATGCACCTGGCACCATTGAGGTCATGCGGTCGAGACTCCACACCCCAGCCCGGAAGATCCCTCTTGCTGTTCTCCCTTGCCAAACTCCCGTGGGTTTGGACTTCTTTTCCCCATCTACAGGACTGTCTGCACCCATATATTCCTCCCCGTCCCCTCAGATGAGCTCAGGGGGTCCTTCTGCAAGAACCACCCCTTGGGGAGGTGAGGGGTGGCAACCAGGCGAAGGGCCTTTTCCGCGGCTGCTCCCCATCTCTGGAACTCCCTCCCTCAGGAGACTCGCCTGGCGCTGTCTCTATTTTCCTTTCCACACCAGGCGAAGACATACCATCATAGGGGTTTTTTTTAACACTCAGCATGCATGCTGTGGCCCTTTTTAATCATTTTTATAGATGTTATTTCCTTATGTTTTTACTCTGTTAATATATTTGATGCATTGCAAGCCACCTAGGAAGGTCGTGACAATTATAGGCAGCCCAGAAATACGTGTGAGTGAGTGGGTGAAGAATCGGGCCTTGACCAGATGTATGGAGGTATCTTCCCCATCAGAAGAGATCATAGGAGAGTCCAGGACTCCCGCTGAACCGTCCCTCTGAGAGGGCTGTCCAGGTGCATCCTGAAGATGCAGGAAAGATTCAGGTGTCCTTCCATTACGGACAAGCCGTGCCTGTCTGGAATTCAAAGCCCCCGTTCTTTATTTCTGGGCACCTCCAGCCCCATGACAAGTTGTTGACATCTGGGGGCAGCTTTTGCCCCCTCCCCAACTCTCAGAGACCCTTAAGGAAACCCCTCCACAGCCAAGTGCGTGCGTGCGGGTGGGTGTGCACACAGTGGTGCCACGAAGATTCTGCTGCTCAGGGAAGTCCAGAGCAGGATGGACCGTGGGTGGACCGTCCGTGTTGGGACAGGACCATGGCCCAATATAACCGGGACGGGACGGGACCGGACCGGACCAAACAGGACTTACGGCCTGCATCCTGTCAGGTGCGTTAGGTGCCCCGTGCTGAGCTTCAGACTGAGCTCACACACCTCTCAGCAAAATGAAAAGCTTGCCAGCTGCCACCTCTTTGGCCTCAGAAGTACTCCAGCATTCGGCCCATTTTCCCACGAGAGCCCTGCCTTGGTGCGTTCATCGCGGTCGCTGCTTTTCAAGTCTCTTAATTGCTCCTTCCCCGATGAGTACTCAAGTACCAGTTAAGTATAACAAAGAGTTATTTATTAGAAAGTTACACTGCACAATCTTCCTGTCTCTCTGCTTTTTTCAGGACTATAGTAAAAAGCCCTAATAAATAATATGTACATTGTATCTAAAATAAATATATAATTTAAAATGAAACGTTTTGTTAAATAGTTTCACCCCACCCCATGTTCAAAAGTTAGATTTCTTCAGCAGAGTCTAAATTGTTCACAGTTAAATCCTCATCAGGCGTCTGAAAAATCTACAGTGCTGCTTCTTTCTTTATTTGCTTGTGAAGACTTTCTTTTCTTTTCTTTTCTTTTCTTTTCTTTTCTTTTCTTTTCTTTTCTTTCAGTAAGGCAAAGTCTGCTACGGCTCCACATCAGGATCAAGCCCAAATAAATGTTTCTCCCTCTCACGAGAGTTCTTGCAATTTGGAGAGGCTGAATTGCTTTCCCAAGACAGCTCCCTGGCTTGCTTCCATTGATGCAAACTCCCATTTTGACTTTGAAATGTAGCCTAGAAAAAGAATTTTATCCACTGGGTTGGCAAGGAGAGCTTGTTTCACGGCTGAATCCTGAAACGGAAAGGAACGATGGTTCATATCAACATGGAATGGTACAGCTTTTACGCACGCAGCTCTCTTTCACTTCAGACTCTGCAGGAGGCGTTCTGCACCGTGCGGTTATGCAATCTGCTCTCTCCAGCGGGAATAATCCAAGAGAGAATGGTCCGTCCGAGTCAACAGGAACTGCTCTGGTGCTAGCACAAAGCAAGGCGCCTGAAACCTCACAGGACGGGCTCTCACGGAATGTGGTGCCTCTTGGCAAGGCCTTCTCGCCCAGAGAGCCCCTGGGCTACGCCGCAGCGCACAGATGCAATGGATGAGTGACCAGAGCATAGCTAGCTGTCTTCTTCTTAGGGGGTTTGTGTTGCGGAGGGACACGCGCCGGGCAGCCTGTGCTTGGAGTCCAAGACCAGGAGCCATTTCTTTGGGCCGGATGGAGGCGTGGAGCATGGAGCCTGCTCCCCGGAGAAGCCGCCTCGGCTGGGTTTGGGTGTCCTGCAGGCTGGGGCACACCACCCCAAAGCACGCCGCGAGAGATGGGCCGCTCTCCTTTGGGGCAGGAAGAAACCAGCATCCGCGGACTCCGCTGTCCCCCCATCAACCCACGCGAGCCTCAGTCCCCCACCTCCACACGGGCCAAGATTACCCTGCAATCCCAGCAGGCCTCAGTGGTTGACCGTGATGCCCAGCTTGACTTTCTCTTCGTTCTCGACATCATACCCCCCTTGCCGGTGGCACCTGGAAAACCCAGAGAGAAGCAGAGTGGAGCTTCAAAAGGAGCAAGTCCACATCGGCCTGAGAAACGGCCAAGCCGCCGTCCCCCTCTCCGAAGCCAAAGAAGGCCCGCTGCTTTCTTATTCTTCATCCTGGGGTGCGGGTATGAGCAACGTGCTCTGGCATCTCCGGGCCAGCAGTGGCAGGGCAGGGCGACGTGGGCTGGACGTGGGCTGCAGCCCCCCCCCCCCAGCTGGCTTTTTGCCACAGCTCCACGCTCAGCGGAGGAGCCCAGCAGAGTGCAGCAGAGCAGCCGGCATCTCCCCTTCCGGTGACAGGCCAAGAGCCTCGAGGACGTAATTGACCTTGCACACGGCGGCTGGTGAGCCCGGGCCAAGCAGGGAAGGAGGCCGATAGACCTGGTCCTTGGGCACGTTCCAGGGGGCAGCCACCCTCGCCGGCGGCCTCGGGCAGGGGTCTCTCTGCCTCACTTCTGTGCCTCGAGAGGGGAAATGTCAAGGATCTGCCCCGCAGGGACTGGACCGAAGTTGGGCCAGCAAGGACTGCAACGCGCTAACTCGCTTTGCACAGCTGCTTCTGCGAATCCAGGTCACGTGAGGTCTGCCAGGGCAGGCCTGGAGATGCAGAAGGTGCTTTGCCGTCTGCCCGTGGGAACCATCAGCTTGGGGACGGATCAGAACGGCCGTCGCTGAAGTTGCGAAGGCCTGGCCGTCTTGGGCAAGAGGCTGCCCAGACCTCCAAGACACTCTCCTGAACCCCTCAGAAGATGAGTCAGGAGAACTGCCAGGTGACAGAGCGCGGGAGCCAGGCCTGCTGCTCCATTTCGGCCGCCCTTCTCAGCTCACCTCAGCATCAGCAACACCACGATGATGATCAGGCACAAGGAGGACAACACGAGCGCCGTCGCGGCCAGTACCGTCGTGGGGTCGTAGCTGTGCGGGCGGGTTTCCACTGGAAGGCTGAACGCGTGGCATCGCTCTCCGTAGTAGCCCTGATGGCACCTGGGAGACACGGGTGAGGAATAAATCCTGCATGAGGCTCGCTTCCAGAAAGCAGCGAGAGGACCACCCCTCCGCCCACTCCTCTCAGCAGGGGCTTCTCGGTTGGGGCCCCCATCCCTGGAACTGACTTCCCAGAGATGTTCGTCAAGCACTGTCCTTACACATATTCCAGCACCAAACTAAAATGTTTCTATTTAAGGAGCATTTTAACTCTTGATAATTTTAATTGGAATTTAATTTTAATCATATTTTAATGTAACTTTTAATTTCCTTCATTATGACATTTATTCCAATCTGTTGTTAAACTTTCATCTGGTGTTCCTGCTAGGATGCTGTTATTTATTATTAATATTGTGGTTTTAACGGTCTAAATTGTGTTTAACTGTGCTATTTATGTTTTATGTTGTTGGTTTTTTATTACGTAAACTGTCTGGAGAGCCATGTGGCTGCAAGACGGTATACGAAAGTGCTAAACAGGTGCATAATGAGCTGCTTACCAGGTCACCCCCCGGGCCTTTTCTCCGCCATCGTTTTCTGGGAGCATCCAGTACCTGGTAAAGCTCATAGAGAAAACTCCCTTTTCCTAACAACACCCACAGTGCACACACATACACAAATGTGGTGCTGCCTGCAAAGTCATAGCCCCCCGCCCCCCAGGTAGTTCTGCTTGCCACCTCTCAGGAGCCTCACCGCACACCTGTTCTGCTCTATACTTGACTAAGCACAGAGGGCGCTCCGTGAGAGGCCTCCGTCTTCCGAGAAGAAGCACTTCTGTATTAGCACTGACTCGGAGCCGTTCCTCCGCCTGTCAAAGGCTCGGCGGATGCCAGAGATCCCTCTCCAGTGGGATATTAATCAGTGCGTGAGCAAAAAGAGACGTTGCCACGACTGGCACACGTGTCCTCCTGCCCCTTTGCTGCACTGCAGAAATTGCAGCCTTCGCTGGAACAGAACAGTGCTGCCCCAGAGAGCTGCCTGGCCCCACTCCTTCCTATGTCCAGCAAGTCCGTTGCACTGGAAGAAAGTGGATGATGGGGCAGCAGCCCAAATTCCTCCAGTGGGGCATACAGAGAGTCAGGAGGCCTGCCCTGCAGCTCGCCCCAAGCGGGGAGGAAAGAGAGCCTGCCCCAACTCTCCCACCTGGAGGCGTCTGAGGTGCAGCTGGCAGCCGTCGGCGAGGGACAGTTTCACCTGGAGTCCTGTGCAGAGCAAGGCTTGGACCTCAGGGCCCTCTGGCCCCTTCCGGCTCTTCGCTCATGGCCAAAACGGGGTTTCTAATGCAGGTCTCTCGAAGCACAGCCTGCATTTTTCTGCTCAATTGCACTGGCTCTCTGTTTTGCAACCTCTGCGTCAATTCCGCTTTTCTCCGGCCAGCTTTATTGTCCAGATCAAAACCAGGAAATCGCACACATTGCAAGCCCACAAGGCATTTTTAAGCTCCAGAACGTGGTGTCTCCTCCCAGTGCCCTCTGTGACCCCTCTCCTTTACTGGGGGCAAGAGGAGTCCCCGGATGGCCAAATGGACTTGAGCAATTGCAAGGAACCGCAGGCCAATGTTTAAATTACTGCTGGGCTGAGTTCTCAGCCTCTGAGGTCCCAATGAGAACCTTTAATGAGTCACAAGCTGGACTCCAAAGTTGCATGGCCATATTTACCCTTCTCTGAGGAGCTGCCAACTTTACTGCCACTCCCTGTTTTTCTGAACTGACTTTTCAAGGGGCGCAAAAAGCCTCGGTTTCAGAGTCTCAAGGACAGCCATGATGAAGGTCTTAAGTAAGTGTGGGTGTTGATTGTGCTGCTGTGTGCATTGTATAACCTCAAATCACAAGCACAGGAATCGGTACTCGACCCAGAACTTGGCAAGGTGAGGGAACCCGCTTGGATTTCACCTGTTTCTGTGCAGGATTGCCTGCACCCGGTGCCAGGGAGAAACAAACTAAACCACACGCAAGCAAGCGCACGCTCTGTAAAAACATCGGCCGTATCATGATAACTTGCCTACAAGCTGGACGCTTCAGTTCCTTGATGTACATGCATTCTCCATGGATGCAAAAGTCTTTGTATTTCCGCAAGCAGGGATCTCTCTTCCTCCCTTTCCCCTTCCTCCTTTTCTTCCTCTTCCCTTCATTCTTCGGGGTCACAGGATCTTGCGGCCTGGACAGGAAAGCCACTGGGGAAAGAGCAAAAGCAACGAAGTCATGCTAGCACTTACCGGGCAAACGACGGCTAGGCCTGCCAGAGCCGCTCTTGGCTATTTCAGGAAAAGCAAAGTCGGGGTAACACGCGGACTCCTTCAGGATCGTGCCTCCCAGAGGCAGGCCAGCTCCGTGTACGGGAGCCCATGGTTCCCCAGCTTCGAAACGGCCGCAGAACAGCCTGGGGGGAGCCAGCTGCACACTTGCGATTCAGCAGCAAGGTGTGCGGGGTCACTTTTCCAGTGAGCGACCACACAGGACCTTCGCCTCGGTTCACGTGGCAAGAGTATGAAAATCGGCCTCGTGGTGGTTGCACTCGGATCCACGGCTGGTTGTCCTCTGCTTCTGAATCGTCCTTGGTTTTAGCAACCTGATTCAGGGTGTGGTGGAGACTTGTTTTGCTCCTGTTCTTAATCGGGACTCAGAAACTCTTAGCGATCTATTGAAAGTCACCCGCAGACTGACAAGAAAATCCCAGGCAACCTTTTCCTGGTCCTCAGCTGAGGAGTGGCAGAACCTAACCCATAATGCTGAGTTGCCTTTAGGGACCCTGGCGCTTTCCTTGCCCTTCAGCAGCATCCCTGACTCTGCCCAGCCGGCTACATTCTCCATGGAACCTCCTTGGCTGATGCGAGATGACGCACAGCCGGCTTCGTTCCCGGGGGGCTTCGAGAACAGGAGAGACCCTCTTCATGGACACCCCCTGCCTCTGTGTAGTGCATAAGCTTGCCAGGTTCAAGAAACAATGCTCCTTGTAACAGTCTTTGCCGCAATCATGCCCTCTCCAGATCCCCAACCTTTGAACGCTCCACAATTTAAATTGTGAAAGATTTTGCACAGCTTGGCTCAGTCCGCAGCATTAATGGAGGCTGCAGCCAAGGAACTGGAAGAAGGGCTGAGGCTTGGAAGGGGAGCCACGAAGGACGCAGAAAAGCGTGAGGATGCTTTGCGGTAGGGCAGGCTCTTCCACACCGCCACACACCTGGCCACTCACTATCTGTGGGTGTGGAAGCTGGACAGCAAAGAGAGCTGGCAGGACGAAAAGCAACGCATTTGAAACGGGGGGCTGGAAGAGAGCTTTGGGAATATCCTGGACTGAAAGAAAGACGAACAAGTCAATCAAGGCGGAGTTTTCCCTGGAAGCAAAATGGATGAAATGCAGGCTGGGCACAGCCTGAGAAGGCAAGCCTCTCTGGGGAAGACGGTCGTGCAAGGAAAGGCCGAAGGAGGAAAGGAAGGCCAGAAATGGGATGGGTGGGCTCCACAAAGGGAGCCCCGGCCGTGCGCTCCTCGGAGCTGAGCAGGTGTTCCCAGCATCTTGACGCACAGGGCACCAGGGCATCTCGAGGGTATCCCTGTGCTCCGTACGTATTCCAGGAAGCAAGCTGGCCTGCACCCCATTCAGAGTCCAGGCTCCGTCCGAGCCGAAGTCCGCTGTTCCACACGCTGGCCAGGTGAGCACACACAGCGCTTCCGCCAGACTGAGCCAAGCCTCTGTCCGGGCCTTGGGCCGCGCGGTGATTGCGAAGCCCAGGGGGCTGGGGAGAAGCCCAGAAAGGGGAGCCCCGTGTAGGATCCCAGGAGGTCTGCCTCCTTCCCATCACAAGCAGGGTCTCCCCGTGTCCCCACGTGGATCCGGGAGAGCCTTGTGCATGGGCCGACCTTGTGAAGGGTTGCTGAGGAGCGCCATGAGTTGAAGGAGGTTCATTCACATTCTAGAGGGAGGGGAAATGCACGAATCCTGACCCAAAGTGTGCTGTTCCAGGCCACCAGTTGGGACTAATAATCGAGATCTGAATGGAAATGTCATCTGTTCCACTGCATACCCTAAGAAGTCTCTGGATGGAGATGCAGGGAGCAGAAGCAGAGAAGCCTGATGCAGATGCTCGAAGTGAAGGAGAAAAATGTCAGAGTTAAAATAGAAGTGGTTTAAAGGAGGAGAATGCCGAGCATCAGGGATTGGGACATGGCGCAGGGAGGAAAGCGACCTCTCCTGTGACTCCAGCCACAGCAGGCGCTTGAAGCTGTTTTTTACCCTTGGGCCCGCCTCGTGTGGAACCGATGCCAGGCCTCCTCTAAGGCGAAGCAAGACGGGACTCTTCACCTGGTGCGTTGAAGCCACTCAGGTTTCCTCCAAACAGCCGAGCCTTCTAATTAATGATTCTAGCACTGGTACCCATACTTGGAAGAACTCACCGAAAAGACTCGGGACATAAATAGGCAGAGATGATGAAATGGAAACTCAGCCAGACGCCCCCGGATGGCACAACCCAGCCGCGGTGACTAAGCTCAGCAAGGTAAGGCGAGCCGCCCTGCGTGGGTGCGGGACTGTGAATCATTTGCGGATTCTCTGCTCCAGTCGACAGCATCCAAAGACTGGAAAATTAATATTTCCGTTTGGACAGACCCACACATGCAGCAGTTAATACTGGGTGCCAAGCCGCTTGTGTAACACTGATGCACCTTCACCCAGCCGTTCAATCTTTCCCAAGCTCCTTGTGAATCAAATTCTAAGTGCCACACATGCCAGCAGGAAAGACCTCTCTTGATTTGTTATACCCAAGAATATCGCTGCCCAGGGCTGGCGTATCAGAAGATTTTCTCCAGGGGGGAAGAGGTGTGAAGGAAACGCAGCGGTTGCCAGGTCTGCCAATCCTTGGAGAAAACTGGCGAACGGGGAAGAAATTAGGGAATGATGGGTATGGAATTGCTCTACAGCAATAATGAGGCAAGACGGCGTGAAAACTTCCAGCCACCACGGAAGAAGGCTGTGTCTCTGCACATCAGAGAGAGAAGCGGCTGGTGGCGGCTGGATAGCCACACCTCACTGCCGTCTTGTTCACCCTGCACGGCCGCAGACAAGCGACACAAAAAGTACGAACCGAGGGAGCGCAGCGGCCTGCGGCAGAGCAGTCCTCGGACTCGGTGGCCGGATTCTCAGGCGCGGGGGCTTGTGGGCAGCGAGCGGCCGAGCCCTGGAGCTGCGAGGAGCACAGGATGCGGCTCTCAGGGCTTGTGGGTGGCCGGAATGTGAGGCTGGCTCAGCACAGGGGGCACCAGGCCCTCCGGGGAAATGGCAGCTCAGAAAATAGCAACAAGAACGGCTGAAACATTGTCCCACCGTGACATCAAGCCCGTAAGGCAAGAATTTCCGTGGGAACATTTCAGATGGTTCCCTCCCTTATTCCTGTTGCTCTGGTTGTGCAAACAGCCCAGACCATTTCCTTTCCGCACAGCTTTATTTGATGCTATAAACTGTTCGGCAAGCATGAAAAAGCGGCCTGCCCAAAGTCAAGCAGCCCTTCACACTGAAACCGTACTTCTTCCCCGTCCTCTAGTTGTGCTGGGACTTGAGTGAGCAGACAGGCTGGATTCCCCCGCAAAGCTGTCATTCTGAGCAAGCTTCACTGAAAATAAATGCCGTGGAAATCCAGGAAACTGCCTTCCAGGGAATTGGCCAAGGGCCCCGGCTCAGCTCTCCAAAGCTCACCAGCAGTGGTGGAGGCAAATCCGGCACACAGACACACGCACACGACTCCTGCCAAACAGGCGGAAGGGAGTCAGCGTGGCTCCCAGAGAAAATTATTTTTTTACTCTAGCTGGGCAAGGCTGCCCATTCACAGGAGCACGTTCCGTGTGTCACTTTGGAGCGGCAGCTGCTTGGATTTTATGTTGACTTCCCAGATGGCTCAGAAGGAGTTGGAAAGAATTTGACCCACAAAGACTGGAATAGGCTAGAGCGGCCAACCGAGGGGGCTGCTTTGGACCGCCTCCAAGCTCTAGTACTACCAGCTCGGACAGGCAGAAAGCCCCGTGGTTTTTCCATCCGTGCAGCGGCCATGCTGGCAACGGACCTGATGCGCCTAAAAATCCAGACCAGCGAGGCGACTTCTGAGGCCGGGCGTGGACCTCGTTCCCCAGAAGCAAGGACCCCCGTGTGCGGCAGGGCCAGGCAAGCCGAGCAGAGGCGACCGAGGCTCCCAGCCTGGCTCGGGAGGGAACCTGCGAGCCGCGGCTCTCGGCAAGCCTCCGCGGACCCCTCCGATCCGCGCGGCGCCGCCACGGCCGCCCGCGCCCCCAGCGGGGAGGCGAGGGGCAGGGGGGCTCGGTCAGACCTACCTCGAGAAAGGTCCCTCGGCTCGTCTCCGGGGGCGGGCGCCGCTCCGTCTCTGCCTGCGCCGCTCTCGAGCGCCTCCCTGCCTGGAAGGAGCAGGGCGCCCGCCGGGTCGTCGCGGCCCTCCTCCGGGTGCGCCCCGTCGCCGCTCACCAGCACGCCCAGCGCTGCGCCGAGGAGAAGCGCGTTTGAGCGGCGCGGGAGCCCGGCCGGGGCCCCCGCGCTCTGGCTCCCGAGCACGCCGCAGCGGGCTTGGCCAGCCGCTCAACATAAGCTGGTGCGCGCG